GAGAGGGAGAGAGAGGAGAGAGAGGGAGAGAGAGGGACGAGAGAGAGAGAGGAGAGGGAGGAGAGAGAGAGAGAGGGGGACGAGAGAGGAGAGAGAGGGAGAGAGAGAGAGAGAGAGAGAGGAGGAAAGGGGGAGAGGGGGGGAAGAGGAGAGAGGGGGGAGAGGGAGAGGGAGAGGAAGAGAGAGAGAGGGGAGGAGTGAGAGAGAGGGAGAGAGGGGGGAGAGAAGAGAGGGGAGGAGAAAGAGGGAGAGAAAGAGGAGGAGAGAGAGAGAGGGGGGGAGAGAGAGAGAGAGGAGAGAGAGGGGGGGGAGAGGGAGAGAGAGGGGGGGAGGGGAGAGAGGACGAGAGAGAGAGGGAGAGAAAGAGGGAGGAGAGAGAGGGGGGGAAGAGAGAGAGAGGGCGACAGAGAGGGCGAGAGAGAGGGGGGGGGGAGAGAGAGAGGGAGAGAGAGAGAGGGAGGAGAGGGGGGGAGAGAGAGAGAGGGCAAGAGAGTGGGCAAGAGAGAGAGAGAGAGGGGGGAGAGAGAGGAGGGGGGGAGAGAGAGAGAGGGAGGAGAGAGAGAGAGGGGGCAAGAGAGAGAGAGGAGAGAGAGAGAGGGAGGAGAGAGAGGAAGGGAGAGAGAGGGAGGAGAGAGAGGGGGGGGGAGGGAGAGAGAGAGAGAGAGAGAAAGAGAGAGAGAGAGAGGAGAAAGAGAGAGAGAAGGACTCTCAGGGTCCACCAGGGCCCAGGCTCACCTGCGCCCTCGGCTGGCTGCCCTGGGTGCCCGCGGCTGGCCCCTGGCGCTGCCCCTGTCCGGAGGCCGGCCGGCCACGGGCGGACTCTCAGGCTGTTGCCGCTGCCGATGCTGGATTCCTCCAAGCGGCAGGACTTGATGAGGACTGTCTGGGCCGAGTTGCCCTCCTCCTCTCTCTGGGCCGTGTCGCCCTGCCCCTCGGGCTGAGGTCCTGGGGGGGGCATTCGAATTTCGAACGAAGCCCCTGGGCCAGCTGTGGTGGCAAAGTCTGTGGGTCAGTCCGAGAGAGGCGGGAGGGGTGGTGAGCAGAGGGGCGGCCAGAGCCAGACCCCAGCCTGGCTCTCAAGCCCTCGCTGCACTGGCGCCCTGGCCCCCACACCCTGGCGCCTCTGCGGCCTGTCTGGGCTGCAGGCTCTGACCTCTGCGCCCAGGGGGCAATGTGGGTCCCACCTCCTCCTGCAACCTAGCTGCCTGGTCCTCCATGCTGTGCCTGGGACTCAACCACCCGCTCTGGCCTCCCTCCCTCCTCCCTGCCTCCGGCCCTCCGCCCCTGCCCAGAAGCTCAGGCACAGCACCTCCAGCTTTGGTTAAAATGTTCTCGAGGCCCCAGCCCGGCCCGGCCCCTGCCGTCCTGCTCCTGCCAGTCCCACCCAAACTTCGGAAAAGACTGTCCACACTCAGCTGCCTCCTCTCACTCCCCACATCTCTGTCCCTCAGGTCACCGCTGACCCCCGTGGTGGCCCCATGCAGCTCCTCAGGCTTCGCTGGGCACCCCCTCTGGAAACCGCGTCCCTGGCTCCGCTCCCCTCAGCCTCTCTGCTGGCTGTCTCCCCGCCTGCCTCTGATTCCCGCGACCGCGAGGACACAGCCTCGGCCCTCTGTCACCATCGACAGTGCTTGTAGGGCACAGGTACTTTGGTGGCTCCTGTCCTCCACCTCCCTAGATGCCATCCCAGTCGGCCACCTCTTCTGTCCCCCCTCCAGCGGCCCCGGCCTCTTGTGCTGCACGCCCATTGTACAGATGCAAACACCGAGGGGCGTAGTAGGGCCAGGAGCCCGTGAACTAGCTCTGAAAGCCCCACCTGCTCCACTCTGGTGGGTGGAAAGGAATTTCCCATCATGCCTCTCCCCCTGCAAAGACTGGCGTAGGTTCCATCCACTGAGGAGTGGGTGGGGTGGGGTGGGGCGGATGGCTGCATGACCCCCCGTTACCTGGGGGGCTGGGGCCGGGGCCCGTGGCCGGGGCGCCGAGCAGGGTCATGTCGTTGCCGTGTCCCAGCTGCACCCGTCTGAGCACAGAGTTGTCTATGTGGATGTTCTGCGGCCCCCAGGGTCCAGCCGCGGGCTCCTGAGCATGGGGACCCGCTGCGGGCGGTGGAGGGAGGCAGAGGGGAGCCGCGGAGCCTGGCAGGAAACACAGCACATGACCTCTGACCTTCCCTGCACCCCCACACCGAGTGCTGGCCGGGCGGAGGGGACAGGCCCCCTGCCTCTTCCTGGCTCCATGGGAACGGTGGGCCCGGGGGCAGTCGGCACTGGCCCCCAGGATTTGGGGTGTCACTGGGGCACTCGAAACCCAGACAGCGAGCCCACCCTCCGCCTCCTCGTCGCCTCCGCCCTCGAGGCCCTCGGGAGAAAGTCCCTCTGGTGTGAGCGCGTCTGACCGGCTCAGAGCCCCCCACGCTTCTCTCCGAGTTTCCTCCTGGTTTCCCACGTGAGGTGACGCTGCACAGATTTACTCGGAAGTGCATTTGAGCAGAATGAGAGGGAAACCCATGTAACATGCAGTCCACGGTCAGACACGGCACAACTGGAATCGGGGGCAGCTCGGAGGATTGACGCTGGGCAAACGTCGCTCTAGATTTCCAGACAAAGTTCTCCTCCGTCTCACAGCTGGGGAAACTGAGGCCCAGAAGGGGGAAGGATTCTCTAGAAGTCGCAGGGAGTGTTCCCCTCGGGCTGAAGCTCTCGCTGTGTCCCACGCTGGGCCTAGGGGTGGCCCGCCCCCTCTCACCGGCCAGCGGGGCTGTGTTTCATCGTCCCTAGGCGCCGCTGAGAGACTCCTCCCAGCGTTGGAGGGTGATAACTCGGAGAAAACCCCGTGGTTCGGAATAAACAAAAGGCTGCTGTGACCCCGCGCCTCCTGCTGAGGAGAGTGACCTGAACTGCTTCTCACGGGGAGCCATGGGGTCTCCTGGAGCATGAGGCTCTCAGTATTGGAATGAGAGGGAATCAGGGTTTGATCCAGGAACCAGAAAGATGTCCCTGTTCTCGGAGCCCAGGAAGGAGGACCGTGGTGATCCGAAAGCTGCCCTTTCTCCCCGGAGGGTGGATGGCCCTGACCCTCCCAGACAGAGCAGCCGCCCCGGCCCTCCTCGGCGTTTCCGGAGGACTCACCGCTCTCCGCAGGGGCCACGTACTTCACGATGCTGTTCCCGTGTCCAATCTGGACGGCTTCGGAGTTCCCGATGGAGATGTGGCTGTTCGGCCCGCTCTGGCAGATGGTGACGTCGTTATGCTGGTAAAGGATGGCGCTGGGCTGACTCCCTCCCCTGGGAGTCCCTGTGGGAGGACACGCCACTCAGCCCCTCCACACCTCCCCACGGAGCAGGGCTCCCTGTCCCCCGGGCACCATGCCTCCTGGCAAGCCGGGACGCAGAGTCCAGTGCCCGCCGGGGCTGGCCGGAGCCCAGCTGGAACTGGCCTGTCTGACAAATGCCACCAGCATCTCGGATGACCCTCCCTGGACGGCGTCATGGCAGGTCACCCTACCTGAGTGTCCTCTGCTCCCCGAGAGGGTAGGGGAGCGTCCTGCTCGCCCTGCCCTCTGCCCCTCTCCCTTCGAGCAGCCACACGCTGGCCGTGAGCGCCCCCGGCCAAGGCTAGGGCTGTCCACAGGCTGCTTGTGGCCACCAGAGAGCTTTGCTTGCCTCCCAAGGCATTTGTAAGGATTTGCCTTCGTGACGAGTGTTTACAATCTGACGGCTGTCACATTAAAAATATTATTTTAATTAAAAAATATTTTTTTAATTACATGTTACGACTGCATTGGGATAAAGACATATAATCTAGGCGGGAGTCGTTATTATGATTATAACATTCACTTTTTTCTTCTGGTTGTAAGAGAAAGGAGGACATTTCCGTGGGCCTGTAAAAGGCTGTGGGCTCTATGCCTGCAGCTGCTGCACCTGGAGGATAAGGCGCCCTGGGACCCCGCCCCCCTCTATCTGAGCCCAGCCCGGTCTCCCTCAGCAATGCCAACTCTAAGTTGGGCCAAGTGCCCACAGGAAACTGCCAGCAACCAGCCCTGTGCCCAGGCCAGTACAGTCAGGAGTACCCGCCCCTCCCAGCCCCTGGCCTTCTGCAAATACAGCCTTGGGCCCCACCTCCAGGAAGCCCTCCCTGGTTACTCCCCCACCGAGCGTCATGCTCCACCCTCCTGGAACCCCTTCCAGTGACTGGTGAGCAAGACAAGTGCAAGCTTCTGGAAGGTTCTGAAGGTGGAGCAGGCAAGAAACACATGTTGAGTGTCTCTTTCCCTGCCCTGCCCAGGTGTGGGAGCACATCAGGGCCTACCTGGTTGGTATATTTCCCAGTTGTTTGACTTCTTGTCCAAGTTCAGCAGGTGGTCTTTCTGCATTTCATACAGGTATCGGTTGACATCTCTGGACGAGGTCATCCCCAGGGCCCGGGCGATGTTCACGGCCTTCATGGGCCCCTGGCCGGCCAGCAGCCTGCGGATCCGTTCCTGCACCTGCACCGGCTCTGTGGGAGGCAGGCGGCGGTGGCTAAGGAGGCCTCCGGAGAGTGTCCGCTCCACTGCTGACTATAGCCGCGGCCCCTCTGAGCCCATCCTCGTCCACCAGACGCGCGTCATCACCGTGCCCAGCGAGGCTGTCCTGGGCCGGGATGGGCACCGAGCCTCCGGGCACGCCTGGCACACGGGGCTGCACAGTGATGGCGGCTCTAGACCGGAGACATCGATTCTCAGGCAGTTAGCTTCTCCCACCGCAGAGCCTGAGCTGCCTCTGGGGGCCTCGTGGGACCCTCTCAGGGGGGTGCGAGGAACCCTCTCAGCACCCCCTGTGGCTAAGGAGAGCTGGAGGTCAGAGGAAGGGGCCCCTGCCCCAGGAGCTGCAAAGAGGCCGGTCACCAAGCGGAGAGCCCAGTTTCTGGGACTTGCACCTGCAACTTGCAGGGGGCCCTCTGCCGGAGAGAGAGGCCAGGGGTGGCGGGGCAGGAAGGGGACGGGCCTCCATGGGTCGCGGGGTCCTGAGCTCTGGCCCTGCCCTGCCTCCTTCCCGCTGTGCAGCGCCCTGCTGCCTACCTTCTCTGGGAAAAGGGGGTGAGTACCGCCTCTCACCACCGGGGGAGCCCGGGAGCGCCCGGGCTCATTGTGAGTACCTGACAAGTGACAGCTCTTTCTGTCTGTGGGCTACAGAACTGGCTAAGGGGATCTCGTGTGATGTGAACTTGGTTCTATGGTCATCACCATCGTTGTCATCGTTCCTTTCGGATGTTATTGTACTTTGCTGAGCACCTACTATGTGCTGGCGCCAGGCTGAACCCTTTGCCTCTAAGCCTCCGGAAACCCCACAATGCAGCCCTGCTCCTGTCTCCATTGGCCGGAAGAGGAAGGGAGGCAGGATGAGGGGACGGGACGGTATGCACCCCAAGGGGCAGAGCCTGTATTCACACCCAGGCCCCAATCCAGGCTTGTCTGTTGCCAGGACTGCTGGTGCCGGGTATCCCCCCCCCAAGATTGGCAGTTACCAAGGCTGAGCTGGGCAGGCGCTGTGGGAACCAGTGCTCCAGCCACATCCTCTCTCAAGCACCACGTCGCAGAGCCAGCATCATGCACTTGCAACTTCTCCTTCATCCGGTAGAGAGCTTGGTTGATGTTCTTCTTGGGCACTTTGCATTCCTTTGCCAGCTGGGCAGCCTTCATAGGGCTGCCAGCATTCTTCAGCTCCTGCAGGATCCTCTGCTCAAGGTCTGGGAGAGGAGAGAGGGGCAGGGAGAGGACTGAGTGCCAGGGTGGAGCCTGGGCCAGAGGCTCTGGGGTAGGGAAGGCCACGGGGGAGGGCCTGGGGCAGAGCCGGAGCAGCCACCCACCAAGGACACTTCTGTTCAGTGAGGGCTCGTGGGCTGATCAGAAATGGCCTTGGCTGGACAACCTGGTGGCCAGGGGGGTGGCCAGGCCGTCCAGTGGCCTCAACTCGCTGAGCGTGGCCAGAAGGCAGGTGGGCACTGAGCCCTCAGGGGTCCTCAGAGCAGAGGGGCGTGGAGTGAGGGCAGAAGAGCAGGGGAAGGGGGGGCGGGGCAGTTGGCCAGTTGCCACTCTGTTCCCAGATCCCAGCCGCCTCCTCCCTTCAAAATCTGCCCTCCTGGGGCCCGCCATCCCTGCCTGTGTGGTCTGCCCTGGGAAGGCCGTTCCTGGCTCCCGTGAGGCACCTCATCTCCTCTCTGCTTCCGCCTCCTCTGGGCAGGATCCCCCAAACCACGGGGATATGAGTTCAGGATGCGGAGGGCGCTGTGGGCGGCAGCCCCACCCATCAGCAGGAAACCTGGACCCCAGGAGCCCCGAGGGAAATGCAAAGCAGGGCCCTGCTCGGGAAGTCGGGTCCCCTTCTGAGGAGGTGACCCCAGGCCTAGCGGGTCCTCTGCCTGCTGGTCTCTCTGGCTCTGCGACGGCAGTGCTGGTGGGGATGGGCCATCCGGTTCCGGCTACAGCCCCGGCTGCAGCTCGCCTTTGTCACCACATTTTCACCTGCCGGCAGGTGAAGCACAGCTAGGATATCTGGGGGTGCCCACTCCTTCGCCCCAACTCTACCCCAAGCAGTCATCAGCCACCAGAAATCCTCGTCCAGTCAACCACGGGCTCTGCCTTGTCCTGAAAAGAGGGGTTTTTTTGTGTGTGTTTTTTAAAAATATATTTTATTGATTTTTTACAGAGAGAAGGAGAGAGGGATAGAGAGCTAGAAACGTCGATGAGAGAGAAACATCAACCAGCTGCCTCCTGCACACCCCCCACCAGGAATGTGCCCGCAACCAATGTACATGCCCTTGGCCGGAATCGAACCACTGAGCCGAACCGGTTTTGGCCTGAAAAGAGTTTTGATTGTTGAAAAGCCGGCCCTGGTGAGCCTTCCCCAGGCCCCTCCTCCCTGACTGCAAAGGCCAGTGAAGGGCGTGAGCCCCAGCACCTGAGGCTGTGAGATGGACAAGGTACAAGCAGCCGTGACGAGGAGCGGAAGCCCCAGAGAAGTAGCACGTAGTTACCCAGTGCCCCTGGCCGGTACCTGCGTGTCCCCCTGGGGAGCTGACAGGAAGCTGGGCTACACCCTGCCCTCCCCTCCCTGCACCCCTTTGCCTCCTTTTTGTTCTCTGAGGCTGGCTCCCCAGCTCTGCCGCCTACTGGCTGTGTGACTCTGGGCCCCAGTTCGCCACCTGTGAAGTGGGGTAATACCAGCTACTTCCGAGATTGTGGTGAGGATGAAATGAGCTAATGAGAACAGAAACAACAACTAAAAGGCAAAACCCCACTGCAGCCCGCAGCCCCCAGGGCACCCTGGAGCCCGGCGATGGCTCAGGGCTGGCCCCTCCACTGGGGCCTCGGGCGGAGCTCTCAGAGGGAGAGGCAGCCGGAAATGTGTGTCTCATCGTGTCTTATCGTAGTGGCTTGTGCTGCTCTCAAAATGAGTGTGAATACGACACCCTGAGGTTTGGCCTCTCGGGGCCTTGGCGGTCTCATGTGTGAAATGGGAGCATCGCGGTGCTCAGCACTGAGGTTCCTGTGAATGTATGGGGCGTGGGCCAGGCACTCTCCCTGGGCGCCATGTCGCTATCACTGCTATAATCAGCCCCTCCCCCCCCCAGGTCCCCACCATCCCTTGGGAAGGAGTACTAGTACCTGCCTCGACGATGTCTGCAGAAGCCTGGGCCATGCTGACAGCGTGGCTAGGGGCCCGGGGAGACCTGCGGGCCTTGAGAAGGCGGGCTGGTGGAGGCTGGCCTCCCTGCGAGGCCAAGGCTGGAGCTGCCGGCAGCTGTGGCGGGAGGCTGGCTGCACAGGAGTGCACAGGCGGCACCAGCTGTTTATACCCCGGAAGCGGGCCTAGGGAGCCGGAACTGATCGGCAGTGTGGAGAAAAAGAAAATGAAACTGTGTGTGTGGCTTTCGAAGGAAACGATATCGAAAGCAGAATTGATAAGTAAGAGGAAGTGGGCTAGCTGTTGGAGGGAAGAGCAGAGTAACTTCCGAGTGCCCACCGATGCCCACCCTGACCCTCCGCACACAGAGGCCGGGACACTGGGTGCCCACGATCGTGTACACTTCAAAACGACAGCTCTCTTTAGTGAGCACCGACCGTGTGCTTTCAAACCTCATGGGCCCCTCCAACTCACCGACAGGGTAGGGACTAGCACTGGCCTCTTTTCTCAGAGGGAAACTGCGGCTCTGGTCAGTGCGGCCACTTGTTCAAGGGGCCCTAACCCAGCCCCTCCCCACCCACACGCTTACTGGCTCTGTGACCCTGGGCGAGTTGTTAAACCTTTCTGTGCCTCCGTGTGCTTCCAGCTTCACTTACAGTCACGAGCACAATTGGGCACCCGCATGTTCCAGGCGGAACACCCCCATCGCTTTCCTAAGTGACCCTCAAGCAGCCCAGAGCCATGGTTCTCTTTCAGGTCACAGAGGGGAAACCGAGGCCCATAGAAACGAAGGGCGTTGTGTGAGGCAGCCAAGGGGACCAAGAACTCAGCCCCGGAAACCCCTTGGCCCGGGGTTCAGCGCAGAGGCCTGGGCGGGCTGGCAGGCGGACATGCCCACTCCCTCGGGGTACTCCCGGTCAGCCTTGCTGCCAACACAGGGGTGAACAGCGATGCAGGAGGGGACGGGCCCGGGGCTCGCTCAGAGGCTGCCTTCGCAGAGAAAGCAGCAGTCCTGGTCCCCAGCACATCCACCAGCTCCCACCTCTGGGTCGGGGCCGGGGTCCCAGTGATGGCATTGGCAGGGTGCCGTATGGAGAGTGACCACTCACTAAAACCTGGGAGCCACAAGACCGGGTGCTTTTGTTCTCTTTCACGTAAAACTGAAGATTCACATATCTCTATATGAACTGACGACATGGACTTTAAATGCAAGGTGGTTAAGGGTATTGAGGAAGATTGTGGGAAGGGCCATGGGTGAGCCCCAGTGGATGCTGGGAGTCTCCGTGCCGGGGCCGGCCACCAGGTGGCGCCCACTCACCAACCTGGGCCCAGGGGCCCACCTCCGCCTGGTCCCTCTGATTGAGGGAGGACCTCCCACCCATCGTCTCCCCAGGGAAGATCTGGCCTGACCTTGGCCTCTCCCTCTCAGGCTCCTTAACTCCTCCCAGGGTGGAAGCAGCAAGCCCAGGCCTTGGCTGCAGGCATGGTGACCCAGCACTGACTCCTTGCCTCCTGGGCTTGCAGGCCAGGCGGAGGGCGGGCTTCACCCTGAGGGTCCGGTTGGCTTCTGGAAGGACTGCTTGTGTCTCAGTGGTGACGGCTGGCCACCGGGCAGTGTTTGGATGGCCCTTCCCGTCCTCTCTGCCTCGTCCTGAAGCCACGTGTGGCCTCCGCCCTGCTCTCTGAGTGGCCCCGGAACCTGCGTCAGGAGCCACCGCGCAGGAAAGGCCAGGCGCCTGGGAGTGCCGCCTGGGCGAGGACTCCATCTGGCCTTCTTCTCCATGGCGGGCCCTGCCTCTCGCGGGGGGTCAGGACGCCCTGAGTCTCAGTTTCTTCAACGGTGAAACAGAGATACTAAAGAAGAAGCGTGTCTGTATGATACTCGGTAGGTCCTCACACACTGGAAAACGTGCTGGATGCCTCTCTGCCAGGTACCCGTGGGCACTAGGCAAAAGAAAAAAAAAAAAGGTGAGAGAGAAAGAGAAAGAAAAACAATTAAACATGTGTGGGTTCCAACTTCCCTCGCTCTCACAGCACGTCCAGAATTCAGGGGAGTCCTGAGCCTGCTGTGAGGGTCTCGCCGCACTGAGTGGGATTCTCACTTTTAAATAATCCAAAGGATTATCTTTTATTTCTCTTCTCCGTTTAAGGGATTTTCAGGGTCATTTTGACTATAAGGATTGCCTTTAACCCAGATATCAGTGGCTTACGCCATCCAGGCGCTTCTTCCTTTTTTTCTCCTCAAACAGTCTGGTGGGTGGTCCAGGCTTGGCGTGGCACATCATGAGGTCAGGACCCAGGCTCCTTCCATCTTGTTGCTCTGCCATTTGTGGCCTCCATCCCAAGACTGGCCTTGAGTTCTGGAGCGGCTGCTTCAGCTCCGGCCATCACATCTGCCTTCCTTCCAGCGGGACGAAGGAAGGGAGGAAGGGCATGAATCTCCCTTTTAAGAACACTGGCAAGTTGCACACACATCCCACTGGCATCCCACTCATCTCCTCGCCCGGCCAGAGAGGCCCGGGGGCAATGGTCTTTGTTCTGGGCCGCAATGCACCCCGCTGAAATGGGGGCCCCTGGTACTTAACGGTACGGGGCCACAGATATTGGAGGATACCTAGCTGTTCCTCCCATTGAGGGGCTCAGGTGTTCGTCCATGGAAGGAGCTGAGGGGCCTCCTCTGTGGCCATTAGGTGTGGGCATTCGTGGGCCTATTTATTGATAGGTCCGCGTTCCAGGGCAGTCTCCATGCTCTCAGGGCCTGCTGCCCATGGTGGAAGGCAAAAGGGGAGAGGAAGGGAGACAGGGACACCGGGGTCCCCTTACCCGCCTGGGAAGGGCCTCACAGGCCATAGGAAATCCCAGATGGCACCGCTGACTGCTGGATCCCGAACCTCCCTTTGCCCCGAAAAGCAGGCTCGTTTTCTATGGCTTGTATTTTTCTAGAAACTGTTAAGAACTCTTCACCCAAACCAGATGATAATAACACGTTACTGATCTGAGTCTTTAGGCTTCTCCCTCACGCTCTTTGTGAAGAGAGATATTTTTACCGCACACTGTGCTGTCGAACCCAGTCTCCTTCCTCCCAGGCAGCCTGGGTGTTATCTGCATTTCCCTGTGCATTCAGAAGGCACCCAATGTGGGAAGTGACATGTCTTTGGTCAAGGGCAAAGGTCAGAGAACTGGAGATGGCCAGAGAGGATCGCACAAAGTCCCAGGAGGCAGAGGAGGAGGGAGAGAAACCTAGACCAAGCAAAGCTGCTGCGTTGAAGGCTCTATTCGCTGCCCTTCAAGACAGAGCTTGGCCACCCATGCCCCCATGGGCAAACCTGGGGCTCTGGTCCTGGCACCCCTTCTAGCCACTACTCCTCTGAGCCTCAGTTGTGGGGTTGCAGTTCAGTGAGGTCATGGCTGACGGTGCTAGCAGAGCACTGAGCACGCAGCATGTGCTCATTAAATGGGAGCTGGTTATATCACCATCATAGGACCTCCAGCTGTCCCTCTCTCTGGTGACAGAGCAGTCCCATTTATCCGGCCGGTCATTCACCAAATGGCTTTTTGTGCCTCCTTAACCCCAGGCCACACGTGGGGGCTTGCCCAGGGAAGGGGGAGCAGGAGAAAGGCCCCTCACAGGTTCCTGGTTCCGCTTCCCACTCTGGCTGCAGGAGAGGCCACACTGCCCAGTCCAGGGCTTGCCCGGTGGTTCAGGTTGAGTCCCAGGCCCTCCCATCCCCAGCTCTCCGCAGGAAGGATAGGCAGGCGGACCGGCAGGTGGTGCTGAGTCAGGGAGCGGGCAGGCCGGGAGTGAGCCGTGGTAGGAACCTGAGATGTTTCCTGGAGGATTTCACCCCAGGGGGCATGGGGGTTGGGAAAGGTGTCCTGGGGCTGGAGGTGGGCAAGGGAGAGGGGAGTGACCGGCACTGGCTGTTCGGGCCCCTTCCTTCCCACCAACTCTTTTCAGAAAGCCCAACAAATACACTGAGATGAACTCACATCTAACTTTTACTTTTATAATCACATGATTTCTAAGAATAATTTCACTTCTAAAATTATTTGCCTACAAGAAATTCATTTAATTACAATTGGCCACCAATTCTTCACCGAGTGTCCGGGAGTCTCAGGAATTCTCTCCAAGTGGGGCGACTTTGCCTGTAAATTTGTTTCAAATAATGAAGTGTGATGCAATTTTTAATGATGATTAAATGGAACAATTGGTGAACTTGACATGTTAGGTTTTCTAGGCTTTCAGTTAAATACATATGGATTCCGAATTTGCAATGCTCCCCCGCCCCTGTATTTTGCAACTCAAACATGTTCAAAGGCACCTGGAAGCCAGAGGTGCTAGGACTGCCACGTCCCGAAGGGAAAAGAAGGAAATGGGGAGACACATCAGAGGAGGAGCCCCCACGGCTGTGGCCGGGTGAGTGCGGGAGGCGTTTTCAGAGGGGCAGGATTTGAACCTGGAGCAGGCAGCCACGGCGCCAGCCCAATGGCCCCATGCTCCGTGGCTCCGCTGGCCACCCCTGCGAAGAGCAGACAGGAGAAGCCGAGCACCGTGGATCTAAAACAATCCGATTTTAAACTTGTTCACTCAATCAAGTTAGATGCTTTTAGAGACAAATTTAATTACTCCAAGCTCAATGAAAGCCTTTTAATAAGCTGAACACCATGATTTCAACCTCAGCCTGCAGCGCAAGGCAAGGAGGGAGCACAGAGGGGAGGGGGGAACTGGTGGAGGGGGGCTGCGAGGAAATGTGGGGAAGGGGCACAGGGTCCCAGCAGGCTCACACACGCACACAGATACACGTGTGCACACGCAGATGGGCATTTGTTTTGGAAATGTATTTGCACATTTAAACCCATCATTTGTTCCAAAGCGTCTGATTGTGAGGCTTTTTATAATATTTTGTCTTATTTTTAGAAGCAGCGCTTTTTCTCGGGGACAACTGTACAGAGTGCGAAAGGAAACGCCAGCCGCTTGGCAGACGCCCTGTGTGTGCTGCCTCCCTTGCTGGCTCGCACATTCTCCTCGCTCCGAACGTTCCGTCAATGCCTGCGACAGGAAGCCAGACACACATGCTGAAATAATTTCAACAAATATCAACTCAGAACCAGCGCGGAGGGCTGGTGCAGGAGCTGCTGCCTCC